GTGTGTGTGTGTGTGTGTGTGTCTCATACCAAAAGAAGCAGCACGCGACCAAGTAGATGAGCATTAAGAGTCGTGTTTATTTTCATAGTTAGACACTCCCCCCCCCCCCCCCAAACCTGGGGCAGACTCTTGGGCCTGACCATGCTGGGTCCAGGTGTGGCGGTGGGAGACCCAGGAGCGCTGGCAGCCTTTGCTTGGCTGGAGCCGCAGCCTCCCCACCGGCAGAGGCAGTCCATGGATGGCACACACAATACTTGTCAAGAGCCGCCACCTCGGTCACCCCAGGATAGCAGTGATCCCCATAAAGATCATTGTCAACTGAGCCACAAGTTCAAGCTAAGATGCGTGCCGGTCAGCAGCTCTCCTCCGCGTGGGCTATGCCATATTTCTCTTTGTATCTCCTGCGGAGAGAGAGAACATCAGCTCAAGGGGCCACTTTCTGTCACCCCCCCCCCTCGAGGGCGCTTCCCCTGCAACACTCTGCCCACAGAAGAAGAGGGTCCCCCCACCTCCTGGCGTAGTCCCAGAGCGCCTGCTTCCGTTCGTGGAGGGAGAGCTGCCTGGCTTCTGGAGATCTGGCAAAGACCTTCCCCGATGCCTAAGGAAAACAGAGGCCCCTTTAGGAACCTGCCCAAAGGCGCCTCCTGCAGACAAACACCCGCAGCCTTCTGGATCTGAATGCAAGTACCGGGGCCGTTTGGGAGGTGGAAGGATCCTGAGCACCATAGAAAGAGGGAGCTGCAGCCACGAAGCCTTCGGTCTCCGCCTCTGGTACGAAGGGAACCCGCCCCTCCAAAAGATTGGCAATTGTGGTGTCCACGCAGTTCGTCTGAGCTAAAGGAGGAAGAAACGGGGAGCCCCCTTTAATGAAGGTAAGCACCAGCTCATAACCACACAACCCCTCGTAGCTGAGGCTTCCTTCCCACAAGCATCTCAGTTGCATGTGTGCTTTCCCTTATACGCCATTGAAGGGTGAGGCTTAAGGAACTCAGTCAAATGACAAAAGTGCACAAAGAAAATGATTGTCCGTATTTCCAAAACACCAAAAATGAAAAAGGGCAGAAAGAAAAACGATGCGGTTTATCACTGGGAAAACTTTTATCTCCCTCAAAGGCACCTGGGAAACATGCCTGCTGTCTGTCCTTCCTACAAGGGTTGCCCAGTCAGAGATGCACATTCCTCCTAGGAAGGCCTTCACAGGGCTTCCTGCGAAGGCCTTCCTAGAAAATCTGCCAAAGGCCCTCGGTGCTGCAAAAGGCTGCCTGCCATTCCCGGGTTCCAAGCTGCAACCCTTCCCTTCTTCTTAGGCCCCAGAACCATCTCAGCTGAAGGGCATAGCACCACACCTGCTGCTGCTTCTCTTTCCTCACCTAGATCCTTGCGGATAGCTGCCATGGGCACCTGGGGTAGAACTTCCTGGACGCGCCGGGCCATGCTTATCAAGTGTACATTCTCCGTGGAGGCCATGTTGCGGGGGACTTGAGGCCGACTCCCAGAGGGCTGGCTTGGATCTGCAAAGGAAGGAAGGAAGGAAAGAAGGAAGGAAGGAAGGAAGGAGTGAGGCCATTTCCTGCAGCCCCCTCTGCCCCCACCCACTCAGAATGGCCTTCTCTCCCAGTCATGCTGAACCTGGTACCCTCCTTGGCACATCCTGTCCAGCTGCAAACAAAGTGGGACTAGAGATTCGGTGAGAACTTTCAACTGCTGCTCCAACACAGAACCTTCAGGGCAGCTGGGAGCTGCATATGCAAGGGGTTGATGCAGAGACTCACGTGGGGGAGGACGGGAAGCTGGAGGGTGGTGGCGGAGACGCTTCAGGTGCTCTGCTTTGTCAGCGGCTGTGAGGCACGTAGACACCACGCCCAGTTCCAGAGCTAGAAGCTACAAAGAGCAGAGAGACAAGCTAGGACCTCCTGGTTTCCTGAGCATTTCCCCCCCCCCCGCCTCTCTGGCTGCCGTTCCTACCTCTTGAACTCGCAGGGCAAACTCTTCCTGGGTCTCCTCGGCTTGCCTGTAGACGGAGGGCAGCCACCTTGAGGGGAGAGTGAGAAGCCCTCAGGATTTCAGCCCCAACCGCCAAGTCCTTGCTGTCCTTCAAGCTGAGGGACTTCCGAATCTGGATCCAAAGGGATCCGGTAGCCCACATCCAACAAAAATCAGAGAGCTTTAGTACCTTACTTGATAAACGGTGACAGGAACGAAGAAAGTCCAGAGCAGCTCAGTCACCCAGGAAGCCCCAGCCACGCTCTGGAAGGGAAAACGGGGGCTGTCAAAGAGCCACAGCCACACACGGCCGCTGCAAGGCCTCCTCCTCCCGGCCCCAGACTCACCACAGCCACGAAGGGCCTCCAGACGCGCAGAGCCAACGGCTGCACGGCGTCCACGATGGAGAAGGGCCAGGAGCTGCGAAGGGAAGAAGGGCCGGCGGCGGCGGGTGAGCCGGGCTACGGGCGCCAGGCGAGGCGGTGCGGCCCCAGCCGCCCTCCCCCCTCCGGGCCCACCTGAAGCGCAGCAGGCCCACCCGGCCGTTGGTGGTCGCCTCCTCGGGGAAGAGCAGCAGCGGCGGGTTGCCGCCCTGCGAGCAGTAGCCCTTCAGCGACTCCAGCAGCTCCGCGCGGCTCTCGGCGCCGGCCACCTCCAGGAACCCGCGGGACCAGCAGACGAAGCCGGCGGCGCCGTTCAGCACCGGCTGTGCGGGGGAGACGGGCGCGGAGCGGTCAGGGCTGCGGGGGCGGCCCCCTCCCCGCCCCCTCCCGTCCCGGGGGGGGGGCGCCGCTGCTCACCGCGCTGCAGGAGGCCAGCAGGCCCAGGACGTTGTGGTCGAAGGGCGTGACGTGGTTGGCCACCAGGACGCGGGGCGCGCGGGCGCTGCGCGGGCGGCTCTGCCAGACGAAGAGGCCCAGCACGGAGCACATGGCGCGCACCAGGAACCTGCGGGCGGAGCAGCCGAGAGGCGAGAGCCGAGTAGCGCCCGGGAGAGCCCCGCCCGCCCGCCCCCTCCGCCCGCCCGAGAGGCCCCCGTGCCTGGCTCACCTGCGCGGGGCGCCGTCCGGGAGCGCGCAGCTGACCAGGAAGACGTGCA